TATGTCTAAATCATGCTGAAAGAATCAGCAAGAACGTCTCTAAGATATGGGCTTTCCTTTCTTGCAGGTAGAATGCTTGTCCAGGCTCTCATAACCTGTGTCTCAATTACTGCAACATCCTCCTTGACAAATACAGTCTTGCCCTACTCATATCTATTCAGCACACTGCTGCTAAGATAATTTCCCTAGCCCATTGTTTTGAGAACATTGCCCCACACTTTGCATCCCTCCACTGGCTCCCCATTTTCTGTTGCATCAGACAGAAGCTACTTGGGTTAATTTACAAGGCCTTTCACGATCTGTCCTCATCATACCTAACACCTCATTCACTATCAAGTTATTGACTCCCACCTCCAATCAGGCCATGATGCCAGCCTCCATCGCTCACTTATTAAATTTTCAAACAAGAGCTTCTCCCACTGACATAGCTGCCACCTGTCATGTGAGGTGGAGTTACTAAGCTGACAAGAAAGCTCTCTCTCATTGTCAAAGAGCATCTTCATCCGTAGCGCTACAGTGGTGCAGCTGCGCCACTGTAGCGCTCGGGATGATTTAGTTGGGGTTGGTCCTGCTTCGAGCACGGTGTTGGACTAGGTGACCTCCTGCAGTCTCTCCAACCCTAATCTTCTATGAGTCTATGTAGCCTGCGTAATTTCTGGAAATTTCTATTACAGCCAGATAACATTAGCAAGTAGATTCTGTGTTTGTTTGTTTGACTTCTTTCGCCTGGACAGAATCTGGACATCAGGGCAAGGAAGCATATTTCCACAGTCCTACTGCCGATGGTTGGCATATTGGTTCTGAGTGTGTGGGCCATCCATTCTCAGAAGAGCCTTTCTGGATTTGGAAGATACTCTGAACACAGACAATGAGAGAGGAGTGATGATTGTTGAGGGACGTAGGCCCTATTAGGGAGAAGAAGTCATGAGAGAAGGGTTTCCATTGGCATCATCACTCCACTTTCCATTGGGATGAAAGCTGGGGTTGTTAGGGTGCCTTTTCTTGACAGGAGCTGAGTAAAGGGGTTGTTTGGGTTGGTGTTTATCTGCCTCTCCTGACAGGAGTAGAGGACTCCTTCTCTCTTTCTGTCCCTGCATAGCAGAGGGAGTGTGAGCTGCTGGAGCAGGAGCAGAGTTCAGTAACGGATAAGAACTGACCAGATGCTCATTCCCAATACACTGTAAACTCAAAAAGATTGAATTCTGCTCTTAGTTTTGAATACACATAGCCACATTTATCACTGGCATAAGCAGAACACACCATTGATTTCAGTGGAGTTGCTCTCATTTACTCTTGTGGTGAATTTGGCCCACAGTGTTCAAATGAGTTTGAAATTAGGCAAAATATGTTCACCGAAGCGTGCTCACAGTAACTTTTGACTAAATTGCGCTTCTATCCATTTTCTCAGGAGAGGCCATGTCTGATCATTTAGAAGTAGTATGTGACAACACTGAAACATAAATTATCTGAACTGCTTAGAACCATTAACTTAATATCAAGATCACCTTGTGAACACATTAATGAGCACTAATTTTCTGACGATTAAACTGCTTTAAAGTATCTGTGCACTCAAACATCACAAGAATGAAGTCGCCACATCTAAAACATGCATTATTCATCATATTCCAGTACTGCATATTACTGTCCCCAAGTTGCTTCATGTTATAGGAACTTCTCTGACTAAATCAACATATGGCTTCAACTTTACTCTCTCACCTCACAGCACAATCTGTGCATTTGTAGTAATTTGAAATAGGTGTCTCCAAATCACAAATACCTTAATTAAGAATATAGTAATTCACTATCTTTAAAAAGTATAACATAATGGATATGATGACTGGATAATGAGCACTCAATATTTTAATATATTACATATTAAAAAATTACTAGTTACAGGAAAACTCTAACCATTTGCTCAAACCACCAATCTCAGAATTAGGGATAGGGAAGCAGGTTGGGTAAAATGAAAATGAAACTTCTCACAAAGCACAAACTGAACTTTCATTCCAGCACAATTCAGCAAACCTTTCCCCATAGTTCATTTCACACCCTTCTATACGTCCTGGTTCCTTCAGAGGTAAAAAGGCCAGATGATTCTTGCATACTTGCCAATATCTTTCATTAAAGCACTGCCTGATGGTGTGCTGTCTTCTAGCTCCTCCCCAAAACCTTAACTGCCAATAAATTAATTCTGCAACCTCTGCAGCCCCACATTAATTAATTCTGCACCTCTTGATCCCCTCCATAAATTATTTTTGCACTGCTCCTGTCCTGTATCAGTTTTGAACCCATCCTGAGGCTTGATCATTTTGTGGAAAAAGTGTCAAAAGAAATGTACCATCTTTATGATTATTTTTGCACTGTTGCTTAGTGAGGTTTCAGTTGTGCTTGGCGAATGCCAATTAACTATTTGAGAGATGGGCTAAGGTTCTCAATAGCTGGATAAAACCAGCAGAGAGATGTTAGGCCCAATATTGGTGAGGCTTGCAAACCATGGTTAGACAGGAAATGATTAAACCTTCACTGTTTGGATATTAACCACCTTACCAGTTATTGTCAGGACCGTCCACCTTCCCCAAAAACAGAGGCTTGTTGAAAAGATACTGAATGGCCACCTCAGCTACACTTGGGTTTCACAGATGCCCAAGGACACTTGTTTTTTAGATTCTGTCAGTCCGGTGTCAAAACAGGATGTTGGAACAGAGACTGTTGATTTAAATTACTAGGAATCTCCTTCTAGCAAGGAGTAAGGGTAGAGGTTTGTCACAGAACTTAGCGAGCACCCCCATTCCAGCCACTCCCAAGGACTGCTGTGAGGAAAATCCAGGCTTTGGTGCTTTGGATTCACAGGTGCTTTAAGCTCTAGGAGCCTGAAAAGAATCCAGCCACTGCTCAATCTTGGGGTCCCTAGGCACACTCTTGGGGCACAGACCTTCTGTCTGGTATTCTCGTCTGAAAGGTAGAACCCACTGTTGAGCTCCCTCAGTCTCCTGTGTATTTAAACACACCCTCTCCCAGAATTCCACTTCAGGGTGTGACGCTGCTGGTTTACAGTTTAACTCTCTTAGGGGCATGCAGCAGTTGTGAAGCCTATCACACACAGACTTTGCTCGGTGTCTAACACGTGTTATTTTATACTTAATCATATAAGGCACAGAAGAACACAGAAGATTTAAACCAATAAACATTACATGAATATTTCTACCTGAGTTTCCTCATCACTCCGGGACATTCTTTGGGCTGGGTCAGGCTTCAGTGCATGGTTCATGCTGCATTGCTTCTTTCTCCTGGAATAGAGGAAAATGGCCCCTGAGCAGAACCGCGATCACTCTCGTTACAGTGTGTATGGTAACACTCATTGTTTCATGTTCTCTGTGTATATAAAATCTCTCCACTGTATTTTCCACTGCATGCATCCGATGAAGTGAGCTATAGCTCACAAAAGCTTATGCTCAAATAAATTTGTTACTCTAAGGTGCCACAAGTACTCCTTTTCTTCATCCCTTTTGAAACTTTCATTCTTCTGTGTCAGATGATGCCATTTTCAGCATCTCCACATAAGCACAAACGCCTTTGTTGACAAGGTGATCTCCCCCTGCTAAACCAGTTCTTCTGGGTAGCGACCAGTTTTTAGTCTAGAGTGAATTTGTAGATTTCCTGTAGCTGAGTACTTAGTCAACTACCCTTTAGTGTCAGCCCTGTATCTCTCTGTGTGGGGACTTCAGCCCAACATGGAGGCAAACAGGAAACAGAGAAGGCAAAAAAGCTAAATGTACCAGATGGAGTTTGTGGCCTGACACAGATCGAGTTCACATCACAATTCATAAATTTTAGACATTCCCAAATCATCACAAGGGTCCACACGGTTTTTATTCGAACTTTCAGCAGCTTTTCATCAATAAAACACAGTATAGTGTTGTCACCTGTGGTTGGTAAAATCACACTACCAAAAAAATGTGTGTGTATCTGTGGGAGGGAAGAGCGATGTTGGACAGAGCCTAATGGACATAGCAGGACAAAGGAAAGGGACAGAAAGAAATTGGCAGATTTTAATTAATCTCTATGCTTGGCCAGGGTGTTGATGGAGTCAGCATAAACTAAGGGAACCTAGATCAGTACCCATTGCTAAACGATCACATATACCTAGATGAAATAAGCTTTTCTAGGTCTTTAGCCTATAAAAGAAGGTAAATATACTATAATTAGAAATAAATTGGTTAAGCAGTGTTACTAAAATATTTCAACTTTGTTTCAGTACTTAGTTTTAGTTTTGTCTTTTTTCATTAACAAAAATCAAACTGTCGTGTGCCCCCATGGTATCATTTTTCTCTACTATCTCAGTGTAGCATCAAAGTTCTGCATTCTGTGTCTACACTTATACCACTACAGAGGCACAGCTACAGTGCTGCAGCTGCATTGCTGGAGCTCTTCAGTGTAGACAGTCACTACAGTGATAGAGCGGTTTCCCCATCACTGTAGTTAATCCACCTCCCTGGGAGGTGGTAGCTTGGGTCAATGGAAGAATTCTTCCGTCAACCTAGTGCTGTCTACACCAGGGGTCAAGTTGGCTTAACTATGTCACTCAGGGGTGTGTGCTTTTCACACCCTGGGCGATGTAGCTGTGTTTAATGACTTGGCCTTAGTGATGTCCCTGATTTTGGTGCACATGTCTGGTCATGTTTCTCGAGGTCTTTCAAGCCTTCCTACTCACTGTTGTGCTTCCAGTTATTCATGATGCTAATGAATATTTCTCTGCTGATTGTGTTAGGTTTATGTAGAATTCAACCTACACAAGGCTTGTTTTGTCACTTAAAACACTTCTCTACTGATTTAGAGTTACCTACCTTTTGGAACATGAATCCCAATTTATGCTGCAGGTTTCTAATCGGGAGAGCAATCTACAGCTGCTACCAACCGCTAAGAGAAGTTGCACACACACACTCAATAAGGATATTGTTTTAACTCTTGTAGTAATGCTTCTGTATGTCTTTAATATGCAGCCCCTGTGCTTCCTGGAGCATATCAACAAAGTCAGTCCCAAGGGTATGGATATATGCACCAGACCAGTATGTCATCTATGAGGTCAATGCATTCTCAGCCACATTCAGTAGGCTTGGTGAGTATTGAATTGAAAGAATCATTCTTTTCAGTGCACCCCCCTTTAGCTACTGGTAAATGTCTTATAAATATAAATCCGCTGGTAACCTTTGCAATCCCAGAATTGGGAACCTTGGGAAATAATCATTCTTCTGGATTCCTCATATTGCACTTATTTTCAAATTAAAGAAATGCTTCATATGGTCCTAACTGCAGGTAAAATATGCATAGGATTAGGTGATGCAGAAAAGTAGCAAGAGATTTTTATCTCAAAAACTGAATGATGTGAATTTAGATATGTGCTCCAAAGAACAATGAAATTATCTACATTATTCATATACTCTAGAAAGAAGAAAATGTTGCGGTAGGACTTTTTCACACAATGAACTAAGTAATGAGGTTTCCATTTGCTGTTGTTTTTAATCTGTCTGATCAAATAGACACACAGAAATTTAAAGCTGGAGGGAATTTATAGTTCTAACAAGGCCATGTTTGTGCTTTTTGCAGGTGAACCTTGTTTTTTAGTTGGTATAGCTAGCTATGGTATTGGATGTCAATGAGGACTTACAAAAGATTTCTGAAAATTGGACTTGTGCATATTTGTTTGCTTCTTTGATTTCTTAAGATTTTTTTAAAAATTACTAACATTTTTAACATTTCTTATTGTGGTAGTGACTAGAGCTCCATTGTTTTTTAGCTTAAGACTATCATAAATGTCAGCTTTGGTTTTCCCTTTTCTTTTCTGGCAGATCTACAGGATATTTCAGAGGATGTATTTTTGTTAGCTCTCTCACCTTAATTGAAGTCGCAGGATGTTGACTTATTAACAAAGATTAGAGCTGGCCAGAAAATGGAATTTTAGTTCCATGAAAAAAATTTAGTTTTCAGGAGTGTTTTCATCCCAAATCAGGAAAAAAATGCTAAAAACGAAGACATTTTCACAGAACTAAAATACAGCTATATTTTGTTTCAAAAACACCAAAATGTTCCCCCAGCAGAAACATTTTGGTATTTCAGACCTCAGTGTTCTGCCCAGCTGCCTGTCCAGCAAGACAACTGAGCAGCCAACTAGCAAGGGAGCTGGGCAGCCTGCCTGCCAGGCAGACGAACTGGTACCTAGGCAGCCCACCTAGAGGGCTGCAGAGGAAATGGGAACCTCAGGAAGCTGTGCAGCCTGCCTGTCTGCTAGGCAGGAAATTGGGGAATTGGAGATTCCAGGGAGCCTAGAAATCTGACAGCCCACCTGGCAGCCTCCCAGGGCTGTCTGGCTCCCTGGGTGACTGGCTCCCTAGCATCCTGATTAGTGGCCTGCCAAGCAGCCCAACTTAATTTCATAACTTTCACTTTCTTGGCGCTTATTATATCAGCACTTCTCTCATTCTCCATTCGTCGAAGCTGCTGTCTACTCTAGAAATTGTAAGGAAATCTTCAACCATTGCACGAGCATTGTACAGGTCCAAAAGATGGGAATTCCATTGTTGACCATCCGCCAGCGTTTCCAATACCATGTTCTCTTGAACTGCTTAGAGCAACTGTAACTGACATGGACCCCACTCTAGCAAAGCTGATGGAACTACTAACAAGCTTAAAGTTAAGCAAGTGCTTAAGTGATTTGCTGCATGGAGTCATGGTGCTGAAAACTGCTGGAGCTGGCAAGTCACCTACACTAAGGCTCTCAGTATTGCTAACAGCTGGGCCGCTGTGCTAGTTAGCCATGATGGGAATGGTTTGTTAACATTCTCACAAGGTTCAGATCAGAAAGCGCTAGGCTCCATTTGGCTGTTTGAAAAGTGGAGATCATTACAAACAGTTGAGCTCATTCCAAAGCCTTAAGGTAATTGCAAGGTTGTTGGAAAGCAAATTCCATAATCCCAGTTGGTTTTCCTTTATAGTTCTATGTGCAAAGCACTGTTGTATCTGCCATGGGTGACGACAGGCCAAAATGGAGAGCAGTCTTAAACTGATGGTTGAATACATGTATCAGACCACATCTGGCCTGTAAACTGGGAATATTACAACTGTGCTTCAGCCCTTATATGCAGATAACTTTCATTGGTATCAGTGGCTGTTTTGTGTATACAATGACTGCAGATTCATGCCTTTGATGGGATACCGGATAAAGGGAGTCAAGTTTGACCCACTTTACAACTGCCCCCGCATAACCCCTTTCTTATGCTCTACTGTGCTTTCAGTATCTGTTTAACTTACTCTTGATTAGAGGAATAATTCACTTAAATGCATTTTTAAAATCCCTTATTTGAGTCATTTAAACTACACTCTGAAGTGATATTAGGTACTAAATGCTAACTGGATTATTACAGAATTTTTTTCCCGACAGTCATTTACCACCTAATTAGGTCTTAAAGCCATAAATTTGGGTATCTCAGCAGCATTAGGGGCCCTAATAAATTTTTTAAAAATATGGAGTTGTCAGCTTGTCTTTACAACTTTGCAGCACTGTGATGCTATCAAGCTGGTTAAAAGGAATCACACACCAAAGAATTAAAATGCATGTCAAATGGCTGATTCCTTTATGAGGTCTCTGCTCACGGCACATGTTAAATGGATTAAAAGCTGGCTAATTCATTGGTCTCAAAATGTAACTGTAAACAGGGAATTGTCATTGAGCAAGTCTGTTTCCAATGGGGTCCCGCAGAGATCCGTTCTTTTGCCCTGTGCTATTTAACAGTGATCTGGAAAAAAACATAAAATCATCATAGATAAAGGTTGCAGCTGACACAGAAATTGGGGGAGTGGGAAATGAGGAAGAGGGCAGGTCACTGATTCAGATCAATCTGGATTGCTTGGTAAAGTGGATGCAAGCAAACAATATGCATTTTAATATAGCTAAATATAAATATACACATCTAGGAACAAAACGTTTAGGCGATACTTAAAGGAAAGGAGGACTCTATCCTGGGAAGCAGAGTCACTGAAAAAGATTTGGGGGTCATGGTGGATGGTGGATTTGGGGGTCATGGTCTCAGTTACCACAGAAAATTCTTTCCTGGGTGTCTGGCTGGTGAGTCTTGCCCACATGCTCAGGGTTCAGCTGATCGCCATATTTGGGGCCAGGAAGGAATTTTCCTCCAGGGCAGATTGGCAGAGGCCCTGAGGTTTTTTCGCCTTCCTCTGTAGCATGGGGCATGGGTCACTTGCTGGAGGATTCTCTGCACCTTGAAGTCTTTAAACCACAATTTGAGGACTTCAGTAGCTCAGACATAGGTTAGGGGGTTATTACAGTAGTGGGTGGGTAAGATTCTGTGGCCTGCATTGTGCAGGAGATCAGACTAGATGATCATAATGGTCCCTTCTGACCTTAAGGTCTATGATTCTATGGCTAATCAGCTGAACATGAGCTCCCATTGTGATGCTGTGGCTAAAAGAGCTAATGTGATCCTTGCATGTATAAACCAGGGAATCTTGAGTAGGAATAGGAAGGTTATTTTAACTCTGTATTTGACACTGTGTCGACCACTGCTGGACTACTGTGTCCAGTTCTGGTTCCCACATTTCAAAAAGGACATTGATAAATTAGATAGGGTTCAGAGGAAAGCCACAAGAATGATTAAAGGATTAGAAAACATATCTTACAGTGAAAGACTCAAAGAGCTCAATCTATTTAGCTTAACAAAGAGAAGGTTAAGAGGTGACTTGATTACAGTCTATAGGTACCTACGTGGGGAGCAAGTATTCAATAATGGGCTCTTCAGTCTAGCAGAGAAAGGTATAACATTGCTACCCAGTATTTAACCCATAAGTTAGTTTTCTGCTGCACAATGTGTTCTCCCCTACTCTGGCATTCACAGCTCTTCTACAGATAATCCATTTAGAAGGCAAAGGAGAAGTGCAGGACCATTAAATCTGTTTCTAGCATGGAAGCAGGAATAAGGAAACACACCTTACTGTAAGTCTATGATATATGACCCACTTAGGTATTTCCTGCTGGTGGGACTTCCATCTGTGCTGAACTTAAATTTTCATTTTTTAAAAATGTTAATTATCTAGACCATGTGAACATGAAGCAGTCTAGTGTTATCTTCCTGAGTTGGTAGGCAGACAGCTTGACAATATCCCCATGATAGATCTTATTGGGTGTTCACTCCAAAAGCCAACATACTGGCCAACATCAACTGTTTTTTTTTACCTTTGATCATATCAGCAGAAACATCTAGCTAACATTGCTGGATATAGTGAGAAATGGAAAAGAGCTCTTAGGTGAGTGGGATACTATTTGTGATTCCTGAGCTGCTCTTGGCTTCTGCCAAGAAGGTAGGAAGGAAAAGGAAAGTAGAGAACTCATATGACTTTTTTAAATTAGCAGAACCTGCAGTTTCAGTAGCATTTGGGGAAATTTGGGGAAGGTTCATTCTCCAGCTAAAGTATAACAATCATCTTGCCCATCAAGGCTTAGTGGGAATCCGTTCTCTATGAGTCTAAAGCCACTTTTTAATCTTTGATAGCTGACAATAGTACCGATATATGTATATGAAATAAATATTAAACTTAGGAAGGGAATGTAGTTGACACAGGAGTAGAAGCACGGTGATATTTAGTTAACAAAATTAGTTTGCACTTTATTTATTTGGATTTACATTAAAAAGAGCCTATTGGTGACTGTGGATGCCTTTGCCATCTATTAAAAATATAACTTCAACCCTTATCCCAACCTTAACCTTAGTATAAACAAGTGTAAACCCAGCTATCCATAAACATTCATGTGAGCAAAATTTTGCTCACAAAAAGATAAAAGAATCACAAATACCTAGTATTTGTGCATGAATACTCATGTACATTTTACGTGTACATGAATAGTGGTACAAATATGTACTCACATGAGCATTCCCACCACAAATATTTACCCAGTCATCATGAAATCTTATCTTCACTAGGAACAAAAAGGTGTGTTCTTAACTCATGTTAGCTAACTTGAGGTGGAATCGTAGTAAAGGTTTGTAGTGTTCATGTGAGGTGGCAGGTCGAATTAGCTAACGTGAGTTAAGAACACGTGTTTTCTCTTAGTGAAGACACAGCCTGTTTGGGATCATCCAAGCAGGACAGAAACAGTACCATGTGGTTTGGATGGCCAGTCATGCAGCATGGATAATTAACTATGGGTAGTGAATACACAAGGCATCAGTAATGGTGAATATTTCCAGAGCGAAATGTGGTTGCATGGTGCATGTAACGCATATGTTCATAAAAATCAGTCTCATCACTGAATTTGCTGAATAAATTATTTGACACAAATAGTCCATCCAGTTCTATTCAGCATATATCTCTTAGATAGTATAGACTGCACTCTCTCTGCATGTGGGTTTGAATTCTATATTTCAGCTTACTAAAGATAGTGCTGTGTGTATATGTATGAGGCAGAGAAGCAATGTCTGTCAATGGTGGATTCTTCATGGCCCTGTTTCTTTTCCTTCAACAGAGAACATACAGAGCTATGTATGACTACAGTGCTCAAGATGAAGATGAAGTTTCCTTCAGGGATGGGGACTATATCATCAATGTGCAACCAATTGATGATGGCTGGATGTATGGTACTGTTCAGAGAACTGGGAAAACAGGAATGCTTCCAGCAAATTACATTGAGTATGTTAACTAATTTTTGTCCCTAGTCCTTTGAGCTTTATTCTGATTTACTCAAAACTTAACCTTTTGAAACAAAATACTCAGAAGAAACTTTTAAGACCCTATGTTCATTACTTTATCACTAATATAACAATTTGATGTAAGAATCACAATCTGACACACATATCCAAACAGTATAGCTTATAATAATACTTTGTAAGAACAAAAGACATATGTGAAAGCCCGGTGCTGCCTATTATGTAAAGGTTTCCATCCCTTAGCTATAAAGGAGAAATGTCTTTTTCTGAGATTCTTGTTTAAACGTAACCATAACATGGATTCTTTTCTTATGTCACTTTAAGATCACAAGAGGCTAATACTTTCAATTTAGTAATACATTCTAATAATTTTTAAAGCTGTTTAACATAGAGCATTTAATGTCCCAGTAAAAATGATGACTGGATAATTCAGCCTTTTAAGTAACAGCAGATAATGTGCTGGTAAAAATCCTACTGCCCAGCAGCCTTACAAGAAACAAAGGTCTGTCTCTTGACAGTGAAAGTTCCCAACTCTCACTTGCCCACACAACCGCACTCATTCCTGGGTCTTACACTGGCTCTCCTTCATGACTGTGCCCTTATCTCCTGTCAGTTTTACTTGCTTCCCAATCCATCAGTTTTGATTGTGCCTTGATTCATGGCAAATCTGTGTTTTCCACAACATATTTCCCACTGGCACTGTTCAGAGTGCAGAGCCAAATTGCCACCTCTTCTGTTTCCCTTAAATAATAATTGAGAGACCAGGTGGGTGAGGTAATATGTTTCAATGGATCAACTTCTGTTGGTGAGAGAGACAAGCTTTTGAGCTTACACAGAGATCTTCTTCAAGCTCAAAAGTTTTCTCTCTCTGACAAACAGAAGCTGGTCCAGTGAAAGATATTACCTCACCCACCTTGTCTCTCTAATATCCTGGGCCTGACATAGCTACAGCAACACTGCATACATTAAATAATACTTAACATTTAGATAGCAATGTCCATCTTCAAAGCACTGTACAAACAATTTCCATTACATCCTTTATCCTTAACTATCCTGCTGTAAATAGCCAGTCTTAGGGCTATATACTATGTGGCCTCATGAAGCTTATAGCTACAGCCTTCATTCTTCCCACAAGTGACTTGCTTAATGTCTGCTTTGGTGATAAAACCGACATGTACCCACCCCTGCTGCAAGGGAGTCCTGCACCTGTGTAGAAAAGTTGAGAGGAGCTCTGATTTTATGATACGTTACAGTTCAATGGCCTACTGCTTAAGTTCCTTCCAAAACACTGGCTCTAGTTGTGACATCAGTTGGTTGTCCAAAAATGGGTTATATGTTCACCGAATGATTAAAGAAAGACAAACTTCATTGACTGCTATTGAGTTTATTTTTTTCTCATAGCTTCCACCAAAGCAAAAACTAAACAAACAAAAATCCTACCACTCTCATTCCAGCTTCTTCCCCAAAACCAAAAAGAGGAAAAGCTGGTGAATATTATGAGGCAGTCAGCAAAAGGAAAGCTATAGACTATGTTTTAGCTCCTAAGATTGATCTTTAGATCCAACCAAGTTCTTTATTCCTGCATAAAAAAGTACTTTGATTCCAGGATTCAGTACCAAAAATGGAAATATTATTGTCCCAAATTGTTTACGCAAAAGATTCCGTTTTGGCTTTCTAATACTTCTCTTCCACCTTAAACTCCATTCAAAGTAAGATGAAAAAGGAAAACTAAAGTGAGTATATTCTCTTTCAACTTTGGATCAGCTAAGCCATTAGTAGGAAACAGTATAAACATTACAGGCCTGATCATTTTGTTACCCACAAACTGCCAGGTATTTTATTTCTGTTGTCCATTGGCTTGTGGTCAAGACTGAAGGATCCAGGTGTGATTCTTATCATTGGGGCACAACAGCTAGTCGCAATATCACGTGGCCCTGATCCTGCTCATTGAGCTCTGTGTGGATACAGTATTCCTCCCTTGCCGTTCTCTTACAGGATCAGGTCCTAAGTCAGAGGGAGCACAAAATCATGTAAAGTGTCATGGGCGAGTTGGTGCATGTGTATGTGTGTGCGTTTAAGGAACAATTTTTTTTTCTGTACTCAGATGTGAATTAAAGATGGTAGCCGTTTAGTAGCCATCCAGAGTTTTGAAGCTGCACTGGCCTTCCTGTATGTTTTAGTTTTTAAAAATTGAATTAAATTTATGCTGTATTTATAGAGAATTTTCTATTTCTGATTTCAAAAAGTCAGCCTGCCTGCATTATTTCATTTAACAATAATGAAGGAAGGCAGTTAAGTATTCATTATGTTAAAAGCAACCCACCAGTGCAAGACACCTGCCAATTCTGCTTTGCACACAGTTAAAAGGCAGCAAGCTCCTTCACTTCCATTGTATTGTTAGTAAGGGAGAAAATCCCATGCTGCAAGACAAAGAAAAGTACATTTCTAGGATTGTGTTTTTTTTAAAAAAAGAGTAGACCATAAATATTGAAAAGTAAGTGGGACAAGTGTATTTTCTTGTCAGACAAAGAATTTCATGGGTGAAGCTCCCCAGCAGAAATTAACTTCAGAGAGTGGTTAGAAGCAAGAAAAATGGCTCTGTAAATGTGAAACCTTGATCTTCCATATTAGGCACATCTGTTATAACTACACTGTGGTTTTAAAATTCTGCAGAAGCCTTGGGAGTTTTGTACATGGAGCAGCTGCAGCAACAGGCCCTTATTCTTTATTGGTGTCTTCCATGTCAAATTTGCTAGCTTGGCAAGTCAAACAGCTTCATTTAAATTCCGGACACTTTAAGCTCAGCCTAAATGTGATCTGAAAAGCCGTCTATGTCTGTATCAGTCATCATCACCAGCCATCAGTAACAGGGGGAAGAATTACAATTTATAATGGTTGGAAAATTTTTCTGATGATGTCTGAGGCAGAACTGGATATCATTTGCTGCTTTGGTCTTGTACTAGCTCCGAAGTGCTGACAATGGCAAAAATAAGTTGTCAGTATGCTAAAGAGATATGAATCAGAAGAAACAGAGGGAGCACATATATATAGCATCAAGTTGCCATTTTTAGTGTCTTTGAAAACAGACAGACAAACCCATAACCACACTAGCATTCTTCTCAGCTTGGGAGAGGGATATCTAACACTATATATGGTAACAAGCTAAATCAGGAAATAAACATTTTATCAGGTTAGAAGACTATGATATGCTAAACAATGGAAACAAAACTACCTTTATGAATCTGAATATCCTATAGCCTGGCAAAGCACCTAAAGCAATTTTCAAAATAAAAAACGGTCAAGAAAACAAAAGAGTATGTGAATCCTGTTTCTCTTGAGAATGGTATATCAGCATAATTAATGTGCTCAGTTTAAAATGATTCATTTGCGTAGTAAATTTTTTGTAATGCATGCGTTTAGTAATTTTTGTTCATTTGGAATGGTTTTCTGGTTTTTGATATCTGGGAAAATGAATTCTAATTATAGAGCACTGTTCTTAGCGGTGGTACCCAATATACAAAGTGATTAGGGCCTGGATATCAAAATGTTTTATGAGAGCTACAACTTGTAATCCATAGATCCTCAGTTCAACCACCACAATTTGTAAGTACAATTCTTACAAGGAGTTTGTGAAGCCCTGCTGATATACTGTGGAGTGTTGGGAGAAGTAAATGCCAGATACCGCTTTTTCCACCTTTAAATTGTCTGACAAGCAAGGAAGATAAAACCTAATTCTTTTATTTTACCACAGTGTATCACCCTTACTTCGTACATTGCACACGTGAACAGCATCTGACTGGGGAGGGAAATAAGTAAATTCTGGACACAATCATCTCAGAATTCCATAATTCAGCTTGGAGTTCACTCATCCCCATTCAAGTGTTAGAAAAATAAGGGCACTGTAATGTGCTATTATTCTTCAAGAACACAAGTATAAATATAATACAGTATATAAGATACTAATACAGGGCATCTTGCTGTTCATTATACATACATCCCCATTTAGCCTTTTTCTAAACAAAGCTACGATTATGAATACTACAGTTGTAAAGTTCCATTATAGCATATTCGTATTTAATATTGAAATGCGCTTCTCGTGCCCACAGTGACTACCACACACCAGTTAAGCAAGGTTAGGGCTCGACAGTGAATCACTTTAATGGATTGTCTTCTTGATATGTGTGTCCTTCCTAAAAGTTCCCTGGGGACTTGGAAGGCCTCTAGTGCTTGGCCAAGAAGTTAATTTTAGTTTTTATTGTACAGTGATGGTACATCACCTTTCCTTATAAAACAACCAGAAACACAGAAGTGTTGGGCAGAATGTGATATAAAGAATAAAATCTGCTCAATTTGAACTATTTTGAATAACATTCTGTATGAAATATGGTATAAGATGTAGTTAGTAAATATTTAAATACCACACAGAAACAAGCTAAAGATGCTTTCTAAACATAGATCTACATACAACTACATACACTCTAGTGCTTTGTGCTGGCAAGAGCAAACTGCTGGTGAGTTAAAAGGATAAAACATTCTACAGTGCTTTAGCAATCATTCTCCAATCTTTATACCATAGAAACCACACCTCAAATCTCATCACCCCTCTGAAAGAAAATGTGGAGCTATATTTCTTTCTTTAATTGCCTGCACCACTACAGTATATTCAAATGAATTTCATATGCTTTTGTGTCTGATATATAGCGTTTGCATATTGTATCTAAGTTGTAATCCGATTGCTGTTGAAACATTTTTTTTATTTTAGGAGGAAAATAAGTTATATACTGTAGCATTACAATCATATCTAGTTCAATATTACAAGTTGCTAAACCATCAGAAAGCAGCACTGACTGTATTAACGTTGATTAGCATGGTGTGGAAACTCTCTCAGATGTTGGTTTTTGCAGTGTGATATAAAAAGCAAAAATGAACCGCTGCACAATTTAGCTTATATTTGCTTAAAAGTGTGTAGAGTTCTAGTTACTTTGCAAAACTGTATGTTTTTTGGGAGTATACGGTTATGAAGGAAACACTTGTTTTTTTCAAAGGATGGGGATTATTACTGGATCATATGATGTATCAACATAATTTGGCTTTTGTTATGCAAAAAGTTAACACCAGCTATTAAAATATATTTTAGTAGAAATGCTTTAATTCCTGTTTTTCCTCTGCACTGTGAATCTTTAAACCTGGGTGGACTAGAGCAACATTCATGCTGCCCAAAATATTAACCTATGCAAACTAGTTCACATTTTATTTGATGTCACAGTGGATGTAACATTACAGAATTTATTCTGCATAACATACAATGGCATTGAAATAAAATATTAAACCTAGGATTATGTATGTATTATATTCATAAAAAAAACACATCAAAACTACCATACCCATTGATATAGGTTACACAAGTTAATTGTTTATTGCTTCAACGAAGGATGCTTTGTATTTTCAAACATGAATGAAGAAAATAGCCAGACTTGGCTCAAGTTTGGTCACTAAATGTGTTTTCCTAAAAACGCATTTTGTTTCCTGCACTTTTCAGGAGGTTAACATGCTTTGTTCAGGTTGCATTTGGAATCCATCAACATAACATTAATTTCACATTTCATCACCCTTGATTTACTTAAATAAATGCCGGTAATAAGTAAATGAGTCCTCTGATCTGACTCATATTGGCTGCTGTTCCTTGAATTGGTGGGTGGTTAGGCATGTTCTCATTACAGCATATTGCCAACCAAAACAAATCGGATTACTGTCTTCCTTAGGTTAATTCGCACCAAATCAAATCAAGGGCATTTGCTCACTTTAATTCACTTATATTAAATTACTTTAAAAATTCCAAGAATAAATTTAATTTTAAAAAAATCACAATATAGTGTATATTGGATCCGCTAAAACCATCCGGTAGTAACACTTTACTTTGCCTAGTTGTGAGTTTTATTTATTGCAGTGTTAAATGCATAGTCCTATTCTCTCCAATGGAAACTTTCAATGTTTAGAAACTATTATTTAAAAAAGTAGGCTATTAGCAGTGAACAAATAGAAATGAAGCAGGCGAATGGTATGCTTCAGGAATTATTTTGGGAAAGTTCAACGTCCGGTGCTATATAGGAGGTGAGACTAGATGATCACAATGGTCCCTTCTGGCCTTAGAACAGAAATCCCCAAACTTTTGAGGGCCGAGCCCCCCCAGTCCCCTCCTGGAGCTGGGAGAGGCTGGAGAGGGGGTGACCTAAACAGAAGTAAGGGGGCCAAGGCTGGGGCCGCAGGGATGGGGCTGGGGACTGAGCTGCGGCCTGGGGCGGGAGTGGAGTCGCAACCAGGCTGTGATGGGAGCCAGTAGCTGGGCCTGCGGCAAGGTGCAGTTTCGC